ATGAAGATTACAAAAGCGACATTAGAAGATTCCCGGAGTCCTAACATTACAATGCCAGCAAATAATACCATAATGCCAATAGTAAGCCAAAACATGACAGAATTAGACAAATTCAAAGCGCCGGAAAGGTAAGATGCAGCAGTTGCAGCACTAACAACAGCTGTTGCCACATAATCTAATAACTCTAAAGCAGCAGCAACCGATGCAAACCATTTTGAAGACGTATTTAAGAGGACATTATAAGAGCCACCATTTAAAGGTAAGGCGGTACCAATTTCGTTCATAATATTTTTGTATGGGTAAAGGATAATCGAAATTATCAACAATGATAAGGGAGCGAATTTTCCAGCTACAGTCGTACATATTCCAATAGTATAAAGAACTGATGCAACAAGATCATTTCCGGATATACTAGTAGCACGCCATTCACCGAGTAAAATAGGTTTTGATTTTAAAGGTTCAGGAGAACTTATTGGAAGATCGATATAATAGGTCGAACCCCATCTGTAATCGAGTTGCAACATATAAATATCTTTGAAGTTACACTATAACAATAAATATACAGTCAACTATGGATATAAGGGAAATCCGGGCTGAGAAAAAATCTCGGTATATATATATAATGAAATTATAGTAAATAATATAATTTTCCGTTATATAGATATTTTTAAAATAAATAATTTTTTTAAAATTAAAAGGTATGCCGGCAGGGTTTTTGTATTAAGTTAACCTCTTTAACATTCTAATAAACGCTGTTCTTCTGGTCTTTTTCGTTCCAACGGCGGTGAGATCATTAAAATTGAACCAGAAATATGACCTTTCAAAGTTTTATATAATCTTTGGATCATACAAAAAGGTCACCTAAACTTTGGAAGGCAGCATCTCCGGTTCTACTGGGTTAATTTTAATGATCACACCACCATTAGAGTAAAAAAGATCAGAAGAACAACTTTTATTAGAACATTTAAAGAGGTTAACTTATCTTTTTTCAATATAAAAGAGCCTTTTATATTGTGTACAAATCAATCTGTATAAATATTTACGGAATCCGTTATATAAATAAAAAATCTTCAATGAATTTGGAAAATGAGCTGATAACAGATTCCGTTAAACATAATATGGCTTTTTTATTCAACTTATATATTAAAATTTGTTTTTTTTGCAACTTGTCCGTTAAACTGGTAAGTCTGGTCTAAGGGTGTCCGTTATATCCCATAGTTGACTGTAAAATTAAACATACCCAGCAAATTCCCAAGAATTACTTAGGTTTGGAGTCCGAGACGGAGTTGAAGTAGATTTTAACATCGTTTCATTAATTGGAGTTTCCGGAATTTGTATCCTTGCAGTATTTTGATCATTTTGAAGATATTTCTGCCTTTGAGACTCGGCAAAAGATGGTGGAGGATCGTTGAACGAATTACTTGAAATTGCTAAAAAGGAAAACACAATAAATAGATTATATAAACGCTTATAAGATACAATATATATATATATAGTAAAATAATATACCTATTTCGTTTTGTTGTATAGAAGTCATTACTAAATTATCATTTTGTATCTGAATACCCATATGGGTGCCGGTTGACGGTTCTCCTGACATTATAAGTCTGATTAACAGAGCTAGGAGAGAGACAGCGTAAGAAGCAACGTACCGAACAATTCAACTTTTAACTGGCATTTTTTACTATATTTGTTTATTTGTAATTATATATTGTTACTATAAATGTAGTTACCGTTGATACTGTTTCCGCAGTATTTGCAGTATTTTATCAATCATAATAATAACATCTACAATGATGCAGTAAAAGCCAATAAACAACCGGATATTAATAAACGCAAAAGATGTTGTGTTCCCTTAACATTAGCTCCTTATCATGTGGTACCAAAACAGGAAATGATCATTTTCGCTTGACTATTATTGTGGATATTTCTGACTTGTTAAATGTGGGCATCAGCAAAGGACCAATAAGACAATGGAGACAATGGTAATATTATTGTCCTTTAGCATTATTTTTCTAGATTATTAGTAATAGATGTCTAAACTATTTTTGCTCTTGTCGTAAATTAAAAAAAATGGCCAAATTATTTTTAGATAGCCTAAATCGTAAATAATTTGGATGTCATGAAGCTGCAAAAAATCATAGGATGTTGTATATATTTTAGGATGTCTAAAATACTTTCGCCATTCCAAAATATATATCTTGAATGACGAAAATTAAATATAGTATATAATATACTGTATTAGAATATCGAAACTTTAAATGGGCTAGGTGCTGCAAAAAGGGGATAAATTGACAAAATTTTCAAACTATATAGTTTTTTTTTGCACAAATCAATTTAAAATAAGATTAGAATCATTTTTCACTTAAAAAAAAGCAGTTATATCAATATTGATAAAATTTTGTAGTACGTATAGCTCTTCAAAGTTTGTATTTTCTTATGATTTATTACAGTCAGGGGATTTATCAAATTAAGAAATCACGTTCTAGAATGATCTACAAACGGATTTCTGAATTTGATTGGCTCTTACATGTCTTTTTCTCCTCAAACATCGTACAATTTGAAAAAAAATTTTTAAGTTATTAAGTTCTAGTAAGCTTCAAACACATACTTCGAGACGCCTAGTTTCAATAATTAAAATTAATCAACGGCAGCAAACTTTTTTTGCCAAAGTAAATGAGAGGCTAAAAAAAAGATATTTACTTCATATTGGAGATTAAGAATCATCATTAGTCAACTTAAGATATATTTTTTTTGTACTATTTTGTATTTGTATTAAACAAAGATTTAAATACTACAACTTTTATATTTTAATTTAAACCTTGTATAGGTATCAGTATAGCTTGCAGAAGAGAACTCAAGATATTTAAAATTAAACATAGCATAATATTAAAAACAAATAGTTGGGATAGATAGAGATAGCAAGATAGTTAGATATATATGTAGCATGATAATTAGAACAAATGTAGCATATTAGCAAACAAACTTAGCACAATAATTAGATAGATTCAGAATGAATATAAGAATAATAGGTAGATTTAGAATTAGAGTTGGTAGATTCGAGACAAAATTTAGGAAGTGTTTGTATATTTATGATATAGCACGATTAATAAATAAAAAACAAAAAAAAACGAAGTCAATAAAATTGTATATAGTATATTCTCAATACATATTACAGTATTACTATATAATAATTAAATTAAAATTAATTTTAAAAACGAAGTAAAAAAAAATTTTTTTATTTGATGGCAAATCTTCGATTGATTAACGATCATGCTTTGGAAATTTCCAGAATCAATTGAGTGATGATCTATGCCTATATAAGGTGTGATCTGCACTATCCATTTATAGTATATTCTCTAACTGTATTATAAAATTTATAACATAAAAATTGATTTTCCAAAGATTTTTTGTTTTGTTAATTTACTAGTACCAAACCCAAATAATCTTAAAAAAATAATATTAGCAAAATTTTACTGCAACTTTTACATTTAGTATGAATATTAAAAATCTAGTCAAAGCTAGTATTTGGCACAATTAAAGTTTCAATTTGTTATCCATTTATCCATATCTGATTTATTTAGATATCCACTTACTATTGATATTCAGATAATCTGACAAATATTCAAATAATTATAGAATTATGGACTCTAGGCATAATCAAAATAATCAAATACTTGTGATTAAGTTGAACATCAATACTACATGTATACAATACTAGACAAAAATTGTTGAATAACGGTAATTTGGCTCAAATGGGCAAATGATTGGCTAACATGTACTACACAGTGGCACGTATCAGCCAATCATTTGTCCGTTTGAGCCATATTCAACAATTTGCCCAGTATTGGTGTTATCCGGCAATTTATAATCATGATTGGTAGGGAGTTGCTCATTGAGTTTTATTTTTTGAATATTAGAATAATATAATTATATTATGTTTGCTGGATAAATATACATTATGAGATTTTGCAGATTGGTCAGTTTAATCAAACTAGCCAATTAGATTTTTATTGAATTCATTGTTGAGAACGCCCTAAATCAACATAAATATTGCAGCCAAATTTGAAACATATTACACAAAAACATGCTAATATGATTATATATTAGAGAGAGAGAGATTAGATTATTCTTTTATAATAAATAAGTTTTATATAATAAATTTTTAACAATTTTGACCAAAATTAAAATATTAGGGGGTTTCAAAGTTAACAAATAAGTGATGCATTTCGAAAATAAATAGGATTTTTTCAATATTATTTTTACTATGATTCTCTAATTTTAATCTTGAAACTCCTAATTATTGGTAATTTTGGCCAAAATTAAAACGGCCAAATTTTTAATTTAATTAATGTTTAAAATAACTATTAAATTTAAAAAATAAATCTCAGGTTTGTTCTTTGGGTTCAATTTTACTATTATACTATCAGGAAATTTTTAAATTGGTTGGCAATCGATTGACAGATGTTAATGTCAATCGATAAGCAGCACACCTGTTGATTGCTAGTGATACAGATTAGAATCAATTGATACTGATTAAAATCAATTAATATTGATTAATATTGCTTGATTCAAAATTGATTAGCATCAAAAAAATTAAAATCGATTATTTTTTTATCAATTGTGTATCAATTAGTAACTAATATCAATTATTATTGATTTTTTTAATCAATGGCAATCACCCCTGTAGCTAGTAATCGATATCCACTCTATTTAAAAATTTTCTGATGATGAAAAGATTTGATTTATAACTATTTTAATTTTTTATTAAAAATTATGTATTTTATTTGCTGATTTAAGAAGTCTTGCACTGTATAATGCTAAGATAACATTGCATACTATAGCAATCGATAGATTATTATATATATGCGTTATTTGTCATAATTTTGCATAAATGATTATGTAATTTTCCAAAAATATCATGACAAAAATTATATGATTATATAAATGCGAATAATTATTGGTTTTTTCAGTCATTTTTTTCATCTAAAAATATATTCGATATCTAAATTTTCATTACTGAATATAAGAGGAAGAACTACTTTCTGATCCAAAACTTTTAAATAGTCATTTATTATGACCTTATACTTACCATCACTTATTCTATCAAACTCAATATTCATTATCCAATGCATCACTCCTTACTAATCAGCAGTATATAAAATTTATGTGCACAGTGTGCACATGTGCATAATTTTATTTTAGTGTATACAATTTTCTAATTAACATATAAGTTGTGTACAATTTTATATAAAAATTTTTAAAATATACACAAAAAAATACAAAAATTGGTTTCAGATTTTATATACTGCTAATCAGTTATCTCATCGATATATCATTACCCAATTTACCCTTACTTATTAGATACTTCATTCATAGCATCCTATATCAAATTTGTTATAAGTACAGATATTTAATTTATTTGTTTATACTGATAATATCAAGTAAGGGATATTAAAAATTATATAATAAATAACACACTCTTAATAACTATTTATTATTAAGCAACATACTAAAAATAAACCAATTATTTTGAATAACAGGATTAGCTATAGATTAAAAACTATATAAAACAAAAGCAGAAGACAAAGTGAAAGCTACTATAAACTATGAACACATGTAACCTAGATAATTTCATTACTCAATTTTGTACCTAAATATAAGTGACAGGAAAGAAAAACCTGTAAATCATTTCACTTATTATCATCACAGTGATATATATTCCTAATTCTTATAGAGTAGATATCACTGCAATGATAATAAGTAAAATAGTTTACAGGTTTTTCCTTCCCATCACTCATATAAAACGTACGCTATATTAAGACAATATCAGTCGATCAAGATATTACACAAATTAGGTGAATAAATTTTTTTACTATGAAATTTGAGTAATTGACACTTATAAGAAATTCAATTTTCATAGTAAATTGCAATAGTTAGCTATTTTTAATCATTGTTTTTAGGGGTTTCTTAAATAGAAACTATACTCACAAGATGTAGTGAGTGTTCAGAAAGTCAATTATTATGTGTTGAGTAAGTTTAAAACAAGATAAAAAAGCAAAATTAAAAGAATCTTGCTCACAAAGATAGCCTTTCATTTTATATTTTATACCACTTGCAGTATAATAGATTGTTGATTTGTAAAGGTATTTTTATATAATATAGATCTTTTTAACAACTTTGATTTTTTAAAAGCTTTTTAACAAAAATAATGAAATACTAAAATAATATAATTATATTTTATTGTTAAGGACAAACTATGTAATAAGTCAAATATTACTATAGACACTTATACTATATGACACAAATTTATAGTTATACTATATGAATATTTAACAAATATATATTTATTACTGTATATGAATATTTAACAAACATGTAGTTATAACTATATTAATTAAACTAATAAAAGATCATAGTATAAATTTTTATTTATTAAAAATAGTTACTATAAAGAAAAGATGAATTTGACAAAAAAAAAACAGACACAAAAAATTAATTATCTCACGAACTATTAATCAAAATTGTGTAATTTTGGTACCATTCAATTTATCTCAATGAGACGAATTAAATAATACCAAAATTATACAATTCTGATTA